AACATGGGTATCATTCGAAAGAGAATTTTTCCGTGATCATTTTGATACCAGTATCTCAAAATGTGTAAAAAAATCATTTAAGCGACTTTGTTGCATGTCCCAGAGGTGAGCGGTTTTGTTTGAGGGTTGCAGAGGTAAGCGGGTTTGTTTCCAGTCCGCTGAGGTAAGCGGTTGTTCTTCTCAGGTGTCGTATTTAACTTTATCTTCAAGCAGAAGGATGAAGAATTACGCTGCCAATGTTTCCCTGACGAGTTTTCCTGCCTTTTTTACTGCGTGGTCCCAGATTGTAGTTTTACACGTGTCGAACTACAAGTCTCTCTGTCCGAGTCCAGAGCAGTCGTTGCTTTGTCCCCCCACTTGATGGATTACGAGTCCCTCGCGACACCTCCCTATCAGATGGGGCGTGCAGGCCCGCGGTTGCCTATTAACTCTTTTATCGAACAGAAGCGATCGTCCGGAGTGACACAGGCTCCCGGTCTCCGGGAAAGGAATCAGTGCGATGGCATCAACCACTCCAGGAGCGGCATGGCTTTCCGGTCGCTGAAGCCACAACAAAAAATTAAGGAAATTGCTTCGTGGCATTCTGGAAAGGGTGCGGTGGTATGGGTGGGCATACTCCTATCCTAACTCACCACGGCACACCTTCCCCGAACCTGTCGCCCTCCCTCACGAAAGCCCTCTACACTCCACGCACAATACTAAAAAAAAATGTTGTGATTCGCAACACTTACTCGATACGGAGAAACTGTGAAATCCCAACACTTATTCGTGGTCAAGATGCATTTTGCTCCCCACATTAGAAATAGTCGTATAGACTAGTCATAATACTTATGAATTTATTCAATTTTGAAAACAAAGAAGAATTGCAATGGTAAGGTGAGAGGAATATTGTTATTTGATCCCTACAATTTGTTCGTCTCTTCTCAACAAAAGATAATGTTGCTAAGAAAGATAGTTGGCTATTAACAATACCGTTGCGAGGTGTCAACATAATCGCTTAAATACATTGATGGTT